TCTTCCTCGGTCTGTGTCTTGGCTAAACGGCTCAGGCGGTCGGTCAGCGACATGAGATGTCTGCAGGAAACGATCTGGGTCAGGACACTTCGTGTTTGCGATCGGCAGCGGCTGCTGTTCATGTGAGTCTTCCTCATGGTGACTGCTCTTTGTTTCATTTGTGGTAACTGGCTTGGAATGTTCATTGGCACTGTGGTGTGGTGAAGATTCCTCGGTTATTCTCATGGTATGTTTGGTACATGGTATTGTGGAACTTTCAGTGCAAACTTGCTCATCCCTTGACTGCAAAACAGTTGGCTTTGGCTGACATGTTAGTGACACCTGTTGGGCTCTCGGCGGTTTTGTTTCTCGGATTGTCTTCGCATCCAAGGTCTCATGCACGAACGTTTCAGCAGCAGGCATTTTTCCATTGGAAGCCATGGAAAGTTCGTTAACATCAATCAGAAACAAACCTCGAGTATTCAGATTCAGTTGAATGGGTCTTCCAAGGAATGGGCTGTGCAACACTTGCTGATCGATATCCAGGGTTGCCTTCAGAGTTCTCAGCAGCGTGTTGGAAAGCAAAAGTGGAGTTCCCCCGGGTACTATTGCTATCTTTAAGCCTAACTTCCCAATTGGAATAACCAATGCATGCTGACTGTCGAGTGTGCCTTGGTTCCCAAACTTAAATGTCACTTCACATTTACACCTTTTCACCTGTCGGCGAACCCTCGGATGCAAATTTTTCAGAAAATCTGAGAGCAACTGGCTTCCCATCACGGTCTTCGTTGCTCCTGAGTCCAGGATGCCTAGGGCTCCCTGTGATGCAAAAAACACTGGCTCGACTGTTGCGAGTTTGGTGGTCATGGCTGGCTCAGGACATGCGGGATGAAACTTGTCATCAGACTGCATTGGTCTTGCTTGCTCACTCCTGGGTTGAGTGCAAGACGGTGAAAACCCTAGTCGTTCTTCAACCTTTCGGATGATTCGACTTTTCCCCAATTGGTTATCCTTATTCCCCAGGTTAACCTTACGATTTACCCCAAAGTTATTAACCCCATGTACTGACACATAGGCTGATTGCTGTCTGGCGGCATCCAATGTGCTTTCGTGAATCTCCGGCAGGTGCACAAACTCCAGAGGCAAAGTGCCTTCAGAAGTATGATCCTCGATCATGGTCACGGTGGCCATTGTTGGAGCTGAATTGGCAGCAGCTGAGCTTGAACCACGGCTTCTCTCGGGACATTCTGCTCGCCAATGGCCCTTGCGGCCGCAGTGACGGCAGTTTGATTCCAGGATGCGCTGCTGCAAACTCTTTCGGTTGCCAAAATTCCCCTTTGCCGGGGATTTTCCACGGCCTTTGTGACCTTTGCCTTTTCCCTTGGAACCACTGGTGGGCCAGAATCCACGGTTGCGGAAGCGCTCACTTAGGCGCTTACGGGCATCTGTGTACGCATTGAAGGTGGCTGCCAGGCTTTCGTCTTCCTGGACTGCATCTTGCATTACACTTTCGTACTCACAAACTAGGACTGCGTCTTCATCACCTTCATTGGCTAGATTCTCAACCATCTCATCTTCGTTCCAATCATCAACATTGTAGGTGCTCTCTGAATCATCCCATTCATCAGCGACAAAAGCATGAGCATCGTACACCTTTCCTTTGGACCTTTTGACACCTGTGAAATCGTGAAAGAACCCCGATCCCAGCATACGGACTGAAGTGGTGACCTTCTCCATGTTCAACGTACCTGCCTTAGTAGCCTCACTTTCCAGGATCACACGTTTCTTGTCTTCGGCTGAGAGAAGACTTCCACGGAGAACCACGTATGCTTGAAGTTCTTCTAAAGAAATCTTACTGGCTATCAATTCCGTCCAAAGAATGTCAGCACGTGCCAGGAATGAATCATTTGACTCGTCCTTTCGCTGGGTGCATCTGAAAACGGCCTTCTCGAAGATCTCGTACTTGCGTTCCAGTGACACTTTACCCCAATGACCACCCAAAATCGTCACCAGCTTCTCAACTCCAGATTTATTTCCTACCATCAGTTCATCTTTCTGCAACTGGAGCTTTTGGAAAGCTGCTCCACTAGTTCCTAAGATCAAGCGGGTCACGAGCTCGTCCAGTTTGTTGGCAGGCCAGATGTTGGCCAGCAGCTCAACTTTCTGAGAGTATTGCTCAAGGTCATGTTGGGCCGGGTCAAATTGAGGGACCAAGGATGTCAGCTGTGTGGGCACCTGCGAATCGGATGCTGATTTTCCGTCGGATGCTTCAGACATGTCTCAGGCTTGGATGCGAACTGCTACAACCAGGCCAGCTTGTAAAAAGAGTTCCACGATCCCCCTGGAGCAAAGGTAGCTCCGCTACCAATGTGATTGGTGTCACAATGGCAGCCAGTTGAAGAACCCTTCACAAAACGTCCTGCTGCAAAGAGATCGGCCAATCCCTTTTTTCACCGCGTCAGACCAAATGTCCTTGCTTTGGATGCTCTGATGAGCAATGTTGTTTCCAAGCTCAAAATGAGCTCTGCACGACCAAGCTCTGTAGAGCTTCACCAGCTATGCCGTCCACGGCAACGCAAATGGCTCAAGCACAAGCCCTCCCGCCTGCCCAAGGGCTGCCTCAGCCCATATGTGTCTGCGGCATGAACTGGTTGTACCCTGCATGGATGAAGGTTCGCTGGAAGGCAGTGTTTGGTTGAAAGGACCTGGGAACCCCCCTTGGATAGCTATGCAATTCACAATATATATATATATAGTATATGTAAAATCAATAGATAAATCATTGATAAATCAATAAATAAATGCATACATAAATACATAAATACATAAATACATAAATACATGAATACATAAATACATAAATAACTAATTAAATAAACATAAAGATAAATGAATAACTACATAAATACATAAATACATAAATGAATAAATACATATATAAATGAATAAATAACATCTATCTATCTAATCTATCTAATCTATCTAATCTAATCTATCAATCTATCAATCTATCAATCTATCAATCTATCAATCTATCAATCTATCTATCTATCAATCTATCAATCTATCAATCTGTCTATCTGTCTATCTGTCTATCTGTCTATCTGTCTATCAATCTATCAATCTATCAATCTATCAATCTATCAAGCTATCAATCTATCTATCTATCTATCAATCTATCTATGTATCTATCTATCTACCTATCCAGCTATCTATCTATCTATCTACCTATCTATCTATCTATCTATCTATCTAATCTATCTAATCTATCTAATCTATCTAATCTATCTAATCTATCTAATCTATCTAATCTATCTAATCTATCTAATCTATCTAATCTATCTAACCTATCTAATCTATCTAATCGATCAATCGATCAATCTATTAATCTATCTATCTATCTACCTATCTATCTAATCTATCTAATCTATCTAATCGATCAATCGATCAATCTATCAATCTATCTATCTATCTACCTATCTATCTATCTATCTATCTAATCTATCTATCTATCTATCTATCTATCTATCTAATCTATCAATCAATCAATCTATCTATCTATCTACCTATCTATCTAATCTATCAATCAATCAATCTATCTATCTATCTATCTATCTCAAGGATAGTAGTTGATATGTAAAACTAGGGTGCCGGCTGTCTCGCCGCCCCCAGAAGGGTCAACGAGTCATTTCTCTTTGTTTTTTTGAAATTTGCTTCTCGCTGTGGTTTCGGAGTGATTCACTATCTGTTTCACCTGAACCAGGGCTTCAAATTCACTTCGTTTTCCAAGGCTTTTTGTTCCTCTTTTCAAATGTACTGTTTTTTTCCATGTAAACTAAGGGTTTTTTTTAAGGTCCGAAAAAAAAATGATTTTATGCAGTAGATATACATATACACATATATGTATATTTATTTATATGTATATATCTATCTATCTATCTATCTATCTATTTATCTGTCTATCTATCTATCTACCTACCTATCTATCTATCTATCTATTTATCTATCTATCTACCTATCTATCTATCTATCTATCTATATCCATGTGTTTGTACATGGAACGATCAATATTGTGATGTCAATGCGAAAAAACGACAACATGTCGAATGGTAAGACAATGTGCGTTTCATGATGGAACCATAGGAGATCTCTGCAGCGTAGCAACATGTAACGTGGCAAGCATTCCAGAGATCTCGGCAGCGTAGCAACATGTAACGTAGCAAGGATACCACAGGAGATCTCTGCAGCGTAGCAACATGTAACGTGGCAAGCATTCCAGGGATCTCGGCAGCGTAGCAACATGTAACGTAGCAAGGATATCACAGGAGATCTCTGCAGCGTAGCACAGGATGTAACGTGGCAAGCATTCCAGGAGATCTTGGCAGCGTAGCAACATGCGCATAGGATACCATAGGAGATCTCTGCAGCGTAGCAACCAACGTGGCAAGCATTCCAGAATTGTGGCAAGTATTCCAGATTGTGGCAAGCATTCCAGAGCTCTCGGCAGCGTAGCAACATATAACGTGGCAAGCATTCCAGAGCTCTCGGCAGCGTAGCAACATGTAACGTAGCAAGGATACCACAGGAGATCTCTGCAAGCATTCCAGAGCTCTCAGCACCGTAGCAACATGTAACGTGGCAAGCATTCCAGAGATCTCGGGAGCGTAGAAATATGTACTGTACGCACTAGACAGAACGTTAACATCCCCACCCCACCCCACCCCCCCCACCCCACCCCAACATGTAACGTGGCAAGCATTCCAGAGATCTCGGGAGCGTAGAAATATGTACTGTACGCACTAGACAGAACGTTAACATCCCCACCCCACCCCACCCCCCCCACCCCACCCCAACATAATCCCCACGTCCCATTAGCAAAAATGTGCGTTTTATGAGCACGGTTTTCGATCCGTAGGCAGAAATAACAACCCTCGTGGGGGCGGCGAGTCAGCCGCCTACCTAAAACTACAGGTTCACCGGTTCCAGCACATTCCATCAACTTTTGTTTTGAAATGTCCCAGGAGAGTTCACCCTGACCGTGGACATGTTCTACATGCCCTGCGGCCTCAACGGTGCTGTCTACTTCGTGGAGATGGACGCGGACGGCGGCCAGGCAGCGGCCGAGAAGACGGGCGGCGCCAACCGGGCCGGAGCCAAATATGGCACCGGCTACTGCGATGCGCAGTGCCCGCATGACCTGAAGTTTATGGAGGGTAAGGCCAATGTCACTTGGTTGATCTTGGTTGATCTTAGGTATATCTTAGGTTTCGAGGTGCTGTATGTTGGGTACACATGATAAATCCCTGATTTTTTGGTGGGTAAATCTATTGTAAATCCCCAATTTTTGTTTTGGAATATATTGATTTTAGAGCAAACTTGGTCGTTTCGCGTTCTTTTCTTTTTCTTGATGTGGATGATGCGTTTTTCTGCTGTAGAACATCTTAGAGCTGGGTGACTTATGATGAGAGATTCAGCAGTTGCTGGCTGACTTGGGGGAAACTGATGGTATTTGGGATGAACCAGTTCAGAGCGGCACACGTGGATGATGGATCTTGAAAGTCTTCAAACTTCACAGGAACCGGCCCTTTGAACGTGCTATCCCAGACCATTCATGTATGGTGTTCCTGTTTGATATCTTCCCAACATTGGCCAAGATGGAGGCCGATCTTCTGCACCACATCATATCTTGCTGCTGGTGAAAAGGAAGAAAACACCAACAAAACACATCACATTGAAATTATATATATAAGATAATCAGTGATATAATTCTCTCAGTCTAAACACGCTCAACGGATGGTGTCGCCAAAAAAACTTGGCTTGCTACCAAATAACTGGATGGTGTTTTTTTTGAGGTCATCGGCTGGAATGCGAGCCACGACCCTCCCATCGGCAAGCACGGTGCCTGCTGTGCAGAGATGGATATCTGGGAAGCGAACTCGCGAGCCACGGCCTACACGCCGCCCAGCGGGAAGTTGAGGCGGCCATCTCTGAGAGCCCTTTTTGGGTTGAAACAGTCCGGGAAAGAAATGGGAAGCCCATGGCCAAACCAATAACATCCAATAACCATCACATTACGGGGGAGTTCTTGGAAGACTTCATTGAGTAGAGAATCACCTTCGGTACTGGGCAGCCAAAAAGTTGGCTTGCCTAAAATCCGGATACTGTACATCATTTGTTCCCACCAAACAAGGTGGGTTTTCCAGGAAATCGTATGTTCCTTGAAGCCAATCGGGGCCAACACATGTGCAACCTGAGAGCCCATATTTGATGAGGTTGAAAGGGTGCACCAACTTGGGTTTAATGACTGCAAATACCGCCCCCCCAAGAACCTTGGTTGACAAGACTTCCCAAACTTGAAGTAGGTGAAGAAGCCATCTATATCGATTTATTCTCTTCACTTTAGAATACTTTAGAAAGTAAAAGAGCTACTTGAAAAAGCCAAGTTTGATTCTTTGAAAAAGACTCGCTTGTCACAGAGCCTAGGCCACACCCATGCTCTATCACTGGCACCTACATTTGTGAAGGCATTGACTGTGGCGACAACAGCAAGGACGAACGTCGCTGGAAGCATGTATGGGTGGCGAAAGTTGGAATGTTCCAGGTTGATTCCAGTGTTGGAACATGTTGGAAACATTGGGCTCTTGTTCAATCGTTGAAAGTTCGGCAGTGGATGTGTGGATGTGGCTGTTGTTGCAGTCTGCTTCCACTATCATACAGCTGTGGCGACATGTGGTGACCCTACTTGGGTAGTCAAACATGAGACATGCTCAGAACTCTTTCCAACATCCAGTTTCAAAATAACATTCCACAGAATTACCTGTTTTCTCATGCTGAATCTCACAGGCACTTGGCTATGCAGTCCTTGATGCCAAGGTTACCAGGGAGTCTGCGACAAGGATGGCTGCGACTTCAATTCCTGGCGTTTGGGCGACCAGAAGTTCTACGGCCGTGGGGCCAGGGACTTCAAGGTCGACAGCCGCAAGAAGGTGACGGTGGTCACTCAGTTCATCACTGAAGGCCGATGGACTGGGTGTTATCATCTGGGAGATGTAGAAGCAGGGTGATGTCTACATCATGGAAATTCAACCCCCAACGAGTGAGCCACCCTTAACGGTCACTATTGGGGGTGTCCCCTTTGGAGGGGTGGCATCCCCATGAGATGAAATATACACATCTTGCATGTATCATTAGCAAAAGAGGGTGAAAGTTGGACCCATCTGACTGGGTGCATCCTGGTGAACTGTAGAACTTCGGAGTGCTTTGAGTCAACTTCGTCTGGGAACAACATGTCTGCAATTGTCTGCAGGTTTCCAAAATGGAGGATTCATTTGCTATCATTTAGTGATACTCAGAATATCTCAGAATCACAATTCATCACAGATCTTTTTTGGCCAGATGGAAATCAGTGCCAATCTCCACCAACATTGTCAATCTGTGATGATTCTTGGTTGGTTGCAGGCCATTGCAGGCCACCCAGATAGATCATGGTTCATATAGAAGCTGATGACCACCTCAGACCTTACAGACCTTACAGGCAACCGGGATGACGGAGACCTCATCGACATCCGTCGCTTCTACGTCCAAGATGGCAAGGTGATTCCCAACTCCAACGTGTCCATTGCAGGGGTCCGAGGTGATTCGATTACCGACAAAGTTTGTGTCCTGGTGAAGGACTTGGACGTGTTTTTCTTTGCGAGTCATAGGCTAAATGGGTATGTCTGAAAATGGGGTATACCCCCAAAAAAATAGCCATTTAGTAGGGATAATGATCAGCAAAACCATTGGGTGTAGGGGTACACTATTTTCAGGCAAACCCAAATGGGAGATCACCTTGGATCGAAGGCAATCCGTAAAACATGGGGAGAGGCTGAAAATTGCCCATGGCCTCCCCGCAAAATAACTGCGACGCAGACCATGCGCCTTTTCCAGGGTGACTCCTGTCAGGCTCCGATATGAAGGAAGCCTTCGGGGATGTGGATGACTTCAACCTGAAGGGTGGCCTGAAAACCATGGGAGAAGCTTTGGACCGTGGCATGGTGCTGGTGATGTCCCTCTGGGACGATGCGGAGGCCAACATGCTGTGGCTGGATGCGGACTATCCCACCAGCAGGAGCCCCACAGTGCCTGGGGTGAACCGCGGGCCCTGCAACCAAGACACCGGGAGGCCCTCGTTTCTGAGAGCCAAGTTTCCGGATGCGCGCGTGAAATACAGCAACATCAAGGTGGGGTCTCCCGGTGGGAGATGGGTTGAACCCAGTTGTCAGGTGGTTTTTATGGTATGGATGGGGAATTGCGGCTTGAAGATGACCTTTTCTTGGATCCGGGGGGATGGGAAATAACCAAACTTCCAGAACTCCGCACAGGGATCATTGGCCGAAGCACAAACTTTTCTCTCCCTAAGTTTGGAGGATTTACAACCCTAAAACAAGCATGTAACCCCAAAGGTGCCATTTCCAACAGCAACATCATCATCTTCCAGCCATTTTTTTGGCTACTGGATGTGTTTGTTTTCGATGTTTTCTTGGAGAGTATCCCAACAATTTGGATGTTTACTCTATACAATAAAAATCAACATAGATACACTATCAAGAACATTTGCTATTTGTAGATATTGTCCAATAATGTCTAATATTGGGGGTTCCCTATTACCCTCTGGTAATTTAACATAGCTATTGAAAATTGCCATTTGTAGTGGGTTGTCCCATGAAAAATTGCGATTTTCAATAGCTATGTTAAATTACCAGAGGGTAGGATTTTCCAATGTTTTCCCACATGTTTCAAACCACGTCTTTTCAATGAATTGGTGATTTCTGGTGGACATCTTCACCAAAAAACCATGGGCTTTTCATGAAATCTAGGCTTTTCCGAAATTCAAAACACAACCCTTAAACCATGCTTAAACCCAGTTTTCCCATGGGTTTTACCCATGGTTTTCCACCTCTGGGGGAAAGTTTCCAGATTTATAGGTGGGCGCCATCGGTACGACCTTCGGCACGGACGCGAGCATGGCTGCCAGCGACGATGGGAAGTGGGCCGACAACCGCCGACTCAACGAGGACGTGGCGAAGCGAAAGGGTGATGGGGTGGTGGATTTAATGGTGATTTAATGAGGATTTCTATGGGTTTTTGATGGGATTTTAGGATGATTCAATGGGATTTGCATTTTTTTAAAAATGAGATTTAATGGGATGTTACGGATTTTGATGGGAATTTATGATGATTCAAATTCAATAGGATTTAATGGTGATTTAATGGTTTTGATTGGGTTTTAATGGGGTTTTAGGTATGCGTTTACGCAGATAATTTAAGGTTAACCGTTAACTGTTGGGTTACCTGATATAACAAACTAGTAGCCTTGTGATGGTTCTTCGGATTTTGCTGGGTTGAAGTAAGTTGGTTGTTACTGACGATAGTTAGGTACTACACTAGTCACCAGTCTCTTGCTGGTTCCGGTTGGCATTTTTGGTTGGTCAGATTCTTAGGTACCCAGTGGTCTTGCTGGTTATCCTCTGGTAAACTGTTACATAACTATGGAAAATCACCATTTTTAATGGGAAAACTCACTATAAATGGCCATTTTCAATAGCTATTTTGACATAACCAGAGGGTATCTGGGAAAGTTTCATCAGGACCTCACTGTTCTCCGTCACTGGATTGATGGTTAGGAAGGGCTAACTATCCGGATATAAACTTACCTTATTTCAGGTCAGTGAAATGATCAAATTGTAGTTATTATAGAAAAACCATTTAAAAAACATGGGGTTTGAGACTTTGACGGCATGGGATGATCTTGGAAGGATGAAGGTTGGATATTCAGGTTGTTCAACCACCAACTTGAGTAGTAAACTCAGTAACATCCAGTCCCATCAATCCAAGTTCTAGGAGTGACTCCACCTGACCAATACGTTGGCCTCCTAGCCCCGGCCCCATTGACTTGAGGTCCTGGTCTGACAAGGTATGATGTCCTTCACAGCAGCTTTTAATTCGTTGGCGCCTCATTTGAATGCGTGACCGACTGCATCAAAATTAAGAGGCCATACAGTGTATCATGCGCACTGATGTGAACCCTCCGGAAGGGGATCTTACTGCACACGCGGCATGTGTTCGAAAAAAGGCTACACAAAAACACCAACGACCCCTTCTAGGCTTGTTCACTAGCAGGGCACGAGTTCCCTCCAATTCGAGGATTTACGAATTTACGGACTTTTGTGCGTCGTTCACAGCGGGTGAATGGTGCTTGTCCGTGCATGAGAACTTGGGCTGCAGCAACTTTCAGCAATGTTGCAGCAAAGTTCTGGATGACTGCGGCTTCTGCTCCACGAGTGAGCCACAAATAGTTGTCCATAAGTCTTTCGAGCGATTCGAGGGCCCCAAAAGAGATGGACGAACTCTTCAAAACGTCCAATCGTTTCACACCAAATCATAGCAAATCAATATCAAACCAATTTATAATTTTAAATCATTACTTCCAACATCTTCCAACTGTTTTGGTCTCATTGGTCTCATTGGTCTGGTGGATTTTCTGATTTTCGATGAATTTTTGGGACCGTAGATGGATCCCCCTAGGATCGGTGCGTAGTGATACTTCTTGATGACGCCTGGGGACGCTTGCTCCTCCTTCCGTGGGGACGCCCCCAGCGTCGACGACTGTCACAGAAATGAAGAAGAAAAGTGGCCTGACGGACAGACGGACGGACTTGGAGTGGTGAACATAACATGACATAACTATCAACTGCAATGTAACTGCAATTAGTCTTAGTAGTTCCTGTTCAGGGTTTTCCGCTTTACAGGTTTTATAGGATACTTCACATCTTATCTCAGTCCTCCAAACTGGTTTGAATGGCTTTCAGCTACGCAAAATCTATTTCAGTGAAGCCAAGTTGGCTCCCCCACCATCCTTGTTTATGTTGTTTCACCCCCAACCAGATAGATTTCAGTTGAAATTCGAACAACATCCTACTAACATCATACTAATCTGCCAAAAATCAGACCCCCATCTTCTTGGTGGATTGATGTGGATTGGTAGATTGGTATACCCTCAGGTCCGCCCTTCGGTTCCCGAGGCCTTGCTGGTAGCCCTGCCCTGGCCGGAGCACCTGGAACGGCTTAGCGCCCTGCAGTCGGTGCTGTGCTCGGAGAGCCTGCGGCAGGTGGCGCAGGGCGACGCGGCGGTGGCGGAGCGGTGCTTCCAGGACGCGCAAGGCCCACCTGTGGGGATGGGACAGCTGCACCACATGTGGAACCTTGGAATCTGCGAAAAATGTGGGGGTTCAACGTTAAAAAATGGTGGAGTGAGCTAGGCATGCGTCAAAAATGTCAAAATGGGATTCAACCAGTAAATCATCCCATTCACCAACCATTTGGGGTCATTTTACATCCCAAATAGGGGTATACCCAACAATACCCAATAATAAACCTCTACCTGGGTCCTTCAACGACCCTTTCTACATGGATGTTTGGGTGAACGACCATGTTTGAGCAAACGACCATGTTGCAAAAATGGTGAAATTTACCACCGTCACTCCAGTATACATGGCTCAATTTTGCTGCAACAACATGGAGATTTTCCTTGGCAATCACCAATAACCAACATACTATCCAACACTTGTGGGTCACACATGGATCTGTTTAAAGTTTTTGAACTTACCAAGTCTTGGCCCAAACAAGTTGAACCTTCCAACACTACATGACTCTTCCCATTTCAGCTGCTGCCCTTTTTTTGGCTGGCGCGATGGTGCTCCACATGGCTGTGGGACCTTATCACCAAACCGTGCGCCCTTGGGGATGATGTGTGTGTGGGTGACCAAACTATCGGGGGTATATAACATTAAATAACATTCTTGATCACTTCAGATTTGAGACGATACCGATACCTTTCACCTTGCAGCATTCTGGCTAGGGGTTTGACAGGATGCCTAAGGCTCCCAAAAAAGGTTTGTTGTCATCGTTTTCCTATTGTGAGCCATGCATTGGCTATTGGGAGCGCAAGCGGAGCCTACGAAAACTTGCCATCAAGCACCAGCTACTTCTAAAGGATGCCGAAGGAGAAAAAATCATTCAACCCACTTTGCAAAATATCCGGTGCAACTATCACCTTTTGAAGGGGTACACCAAGGCGATGGCCAACAAGGGAGTTATCTTGACCAACCGGATTACTTACCTCAAGCCCCCGATTCGAGCTTTCTATGAGTTAATGGAAATAGATTGCAGTCATCCAGGTGCAAAAGCAGTGGTCCATGGATCTGCGAAGATTGTCCGACAAATGCTTACTATGGTAAAACGAAAATGGTCAAGATGGGAAATTCCAAGAGCAGCTGGGACTCCATAAACAGGTTTTGAAATATCCACCAATGTAATGTCACGAACACTTTTTGTTGTTGATTTTTATTTGGACTTGATAGGCATTATGGACCATCACTCGACCTGATTAGGACCGTTTAATCCGTGGCCTGGTCTATGATCTTGCTGCAGCTCATGACAAAGCTTATGCTGATACTGAGCTGGTTGGAATTAATTGGTTATATTTGTTAGCCCAAATTCTGCCCTCAGAAAGGGTAACAGGTTGGATCTTAACACGCCTATATAGTTGTGTAAAATCGAAGAAGCATGTAAGGAAGGGCGTTCTCCATTTCTGTTCAAGGATGAGATTCCACATCAACAGGAACATGGACCCAGTGATAGCAACAGTGATGATGGTGATGACAAATCGATTTCCTCCCACAGCCCCTCGTACATGGAACTTCGGAGTGCCCTTGCCCGTAGCAATTCAGAGCTCGAGGAACAGCAGGCCGCTGACTCGCTTGAGGAGTTGGCAGCCTTGGCTAGGGAGGACAAAATGTCCGAGCCGAAACCAGTGCCCAAAGCTAGTTCTAGCAAGATCACCTCCGAGTCCATCAACGCTTTGCTGCAGATCGTGCAGCAAAAGATGAAGAAACAGATTCTTCTATAGAAATATGCCCCATCAATTGCTGAAATCATTTATTAAATTTAACTTACATGATGTGATGATTATTTTATAGAAACCATTTATTTTCTCCAAATCTGATCTTCCAGCCCAGGACAGATTCAACGGATCGACCTGAAGACGATGAACGCACAAAGTCCACCGGTGCACGATCATCAGCATCAGGCAGTTCAAAGGCAGGATTCTTGGTACGCATTCACCATACGAATATAATATAAATACTGGCGCAAATTAATTTTATGGTTAAAATGAAAGGTTCATGATTGGCGTGGTTTCCAAGGAAGCCTGGTGGACAACCAAGAGACGCAGGATGTTTCGGTGGAGCAATTGGAACAGGAACTTTCCAACATACAGAAGAAGTCACGGGATGAAAAGGACCTTTGAACATGTTTAGCGTCAATACATGCAGTCTTGGAACCATGCATACGTAAAACCACATATGTTCATGTCCCTTGTGCATGCAGGATGCGGGCTTTGCGAAGCGGGAGGACCAGTTGAGGCTGCAACAGAAGAAGGAAAAGGATGAAAACAAAGGAGCAGAGCCCGCAAGCAAACACCCGGAGAAAAAAGAACCCCAGGAGAAGCAAGAAGGCAAGGAGAAAAAAACCAAGGAGAAGGATCATGACAAACCGAAACGCAAGGATCATGAAGAAAAGGCACCAAAGAAGGCAAAGAAGGTTGAATCAAGTGATGCGGAGGAGAAACCGACAAAGAAGGCAGAGAAGGTTGAAGCAGCTGAGGAGGAGGAGATACAGAGAAAGAAGGCAAAGAAGGTTGATTCAAGTGAGGAAGAGGAGAAACCGAGAAAGAAGGCAAAGAAGGTTGATTCAAGTGAGGAAGAGGAGAAACCGAGAAAGAAGGCAAAGAAGGTTGATTCAAGTGAGGAGGAGGAGGCGGAGAAACCGAGAAAGAAGGCAAAGAAGGTTGAGCCAAATGAGGACAAGGGCAAACCGACAAAGAAGGCAAAGAAGGTTGTTGCAGGTGAGGAGGAGAAACCGAAAAAGAAGGCAAAGAAGGGTGATTCAAGTGAGGATGAGAAGGATGATGAACAAGAGGAGGAGGAGGAACGCGAGGCTTCCTCGTCGGAGTCTTCCCCACCCATGCGCAAGCGCCCAGCAGCTCGAAAGACACCCGCCGCAAAGAAGAAAGCACAGAAATCGACCAAGGAAAAGAAGGTCAAGTTCCCCGAAAAGAAGTCGAAGGCAAAGAAGAAGGATCCCACAGAAAAGGCTGGTGAAAAGGCTACTTTTGCAAAGCGCTACAGGCCATCTACAAAGCACAACCGTGAGAAATATGATGGCATCCGTGATGTGTACAACAGCCACTTGCGCAAGTACTTGACGGGTCACACTTACTGCGAGGACAGACCAGGGTCAAACAAGCTTTTGGTTTTTCAACTGTAAACGTTTGCACAAGAATGGCATGCCCACACAAGACCCCTCTACACAAATCACTCACAATATGCACAATGCATATAGGAGGCTTGGTATATTTTCGCGGAGCATGCTTGGGAGAATGCGAGCGAGGAGCGCATGGTGTCGGAAGTGATCAATGAGACTTTGTCACACACGTTTCTTCAGGAAAAGGAGATTCGCCACTCGAAAGATCTCGAAAGTAATGTTTCAAGATTCTATTTGATCAATTTTTCCACGTAAACGGAACGACCATGTCTGGGAAATTCACTCCACCTGAAAAAAGATGAAAAACATGGGGGCCTTCCATATAGACAACTCTACCATTGCATGTACACTTGTGAATAAAGTAGGTTAATTTGAATGTTTACTATATAACACATAAATATAGACGTTGTTTAAGCCATGTAAACATGGATAGACCAACATATGATACATTTCATATGATATATCTCATGGAAAGATAGTTCATTATATTTTGATATTATATATATATATAGAATAACAACTGGGGTTCCCCAACAAAACTTGGTGTCTCTATACCTGCCTCGCCCGTTTCCGTATTGAGGCGAGAATCTGAACGAAGATGGGCGGCAGTTCGTTGCCAGCTTGCAGTGATATCTCCTGAGTGACGGTTTGAGCAGGCTCTGATTGGCAGGTGGCACGTTGTGCCACATTTTGGACACAATGTTTCTTTCAAATGGGGAAGCAACAGGCTGCATTAGGCTGCTGAGGGAATCTTATGCCTGACTTGGATTTTCTTAAAGCAACAAATCCGTAATTACTGTGGGAATCCCAATTTCAATGTCCCTGTGCACTTGCAGCCTGCTTTGCGATTGATAGCATTAGAAATGACAGTAGGCAATTCCGAAGACTTGCACGGAACGCGTGGATCACAAAGAGTTGTGGACACACATGGTGCTGAAAGTATTTTAAAATGAATGTCTTTTATAACCGAACACTTTAAATGGCTTACCTTCAATATCAACTTTGCACCTCTCTTGGGAGAGTTTGGGTGGGGTGTGGTGTGCCATGCTGAGACTGGAAACCCCCCAGCACTGTTCGTAGAAGGATGTATGATTCTTATAATATATAATTCCTTCTGGCCCATTCCTGATGCTTCAACTCTCCAGGTACTCTCATGGTGGATGTTTGGGCTGCTCTTGGTCCAATTGACCCAGCAGAGCTGCTACGACCACGCAATGCTGACATGCTTGTAAGGGGTCTTGGCCAGTTCAGCTGATTTATCAATCCTAATGCACCAATCATTATTGACATGTGCTTTGAAGACCAAAGGCCCTTACTGAGAATCACTGGGCTCAATCTAGATTTGTCAAAGCCCTAGCCTCATGCCTCCTCGACGCAATGCTTTCCAAGTCGGTGTGCAGATGTTGAGGGCATCATGCCCGAAGGCAATAAATGCATGCATACATGTATGCAAATACACAAACACGACAAAATGCGCACACTTTCTTTTGAACCTTTTTGACGTTGAACCCTGTAGATGTGCATGCGCTGTCACCTGCAGGTGCTGGTCTTGGTGTGCATGCTGATTTTGTGGAACGACCGCATCAACCTGTCTCAGGACGGGAAGGGATGCTTCATATCCCCAGTCAATTTTTCATGAATGTTCCCACATATGACGGGCATCGACTTTAGTTAAAATGTATATTGAACTGACACATATGTTGAACTCGAAGTATTTCATCAAAAAACATGCATATATTTATTCGACATATGATAAGATTCCATTTGAAAGGGGTCCTCGGGGTGAAAGGGGTCCAAGGAGACCTTTCAAAGGAAATCTTATCATATGTCAATCCCTTTCAAAGGAAATTGTGTATTTGTCTATGATATTATTAAAAACCCTCCGCCCAAGCACACACACACACACACACACGCACATGAAGTGCATTGAAGTGCCCCGAAGTAAGCGCACGGACCTAAGGAACACATTGTTTTAGAGGGGGAAGAAGCCAAATGAGTATAAGCATGTGCAAATATGTAAACTATACCCTGGCTTTTTTAAGTTCTATCTTAAGCGCTGGCAGGACTTCAAGTTCGTGGAGCACTATGCAGGGGTCGGGGAGTTGACAAACACCATGCGGGAGGTGCATGGCCCATCTGCCAGACTAGATCTTCAGTACCATCGTGGTCATGACATTTTGACACCAGCGGGAATGGCGTAGGGACCTCAAAGGATATACATGTCTTAAGTTATTCGATTGAAAATATATACAGATCTGATTTGTTCAATGTCGTGTAAATGGATTCATCACCAACTTCAACTTAGGACACACTTGGTATCCGTCCTACGAGGGGAGGTTGATGGTGACTTTGTCCTTTGGATGGGAATAAAGTGTGCGATCTGGGTGCAAATTTCAAGACCTTCAACGGGTAGATCATATCTGGACCCACTTGGTTTTGCCACGAAGTGCGTGCAGCTGGCAAATATGATGGTGACAAGGACTTTAGAGTTAGGCTGAAAATAATGCATATGTTGTCCCCTTTTGCACGCATGCTCTGCTCTTAGTCCAGGAGTGTTTTGGTGGCATGGCTGGCAATAGCTTTAGGAGCTGCCATAATTTGTGAGCAGCCTGGATCTTCCCTTCTTGGTCGACACCCCCGGTTTCAACAACTATGCAGTGTCCACAAGGCCATCATGCAGATTATGTTTTTTTCACATGCGTTCAATTGCCCGGCCCACCACCTTTTGGATCCAAGCCTCCCCAAATTCCATCAACCGTGTGCCACGCCGCAGATCTTCAAAACCTGGTTTTGGATGGGACATTGGTCCCATCCTACACCAAAGAGGACGTTGCTTTGGGGAAACACTCGGGCAATTGCATACTTTTGGCGGGGAAGGATGACCAAGAAACAAAGAAAGACTTTAAAGAAAAAAAATAAGGTTGCAGGGTTCAGCCCAGTAAAACAGTACAGAGATGGCAAAGGCCGTCGCAGATTTCATGGCACATCTGCGCTGACCCAAACACAGAATCTAGGCAGCATGATTCAAATTGCCGATGAATCTGGTTCAACCATGTTCTTCAACATGTTCAACATATGTATCCATTGTATATGATATTCAAAAATGCATCTATACTATATTATTATATATATATATATATTTTTTTATTATAATATATATTATATATGATATATATATATATAGTCTTAAGACTATATATGTCATATTTATAGACGATCAGCGTGAGCTTAGCTGGGGGGTACCAGGGAAGAACCATGGGTAACGAGAGCTAGAAACCAACAAAGATCCCTATATTAAAATTATATTAGATAACCAGCGTGTCCCAGCAGCCAAGGACTTACACAAAGTCTTTTGCCCAGCGCGCTGCCCAACTGTACCCTCACATGCTGCCGAAGGCGCCAAAGGTTGAATCAGAAGACTATGAGCACGAGTTCTGCCGCCTTTGGTCAAGCAGAGTTGACATGGACCAGTGGGCGGACGGTGACATGAAAGCAGTAGCTAAATATTTGTTGGGAGCCAAAGGCTTACATGTGCCTCTTGGATGGGAATGGATCATTCCTGGGGACTGGTGACATGTCCCATGATATGCTTTCTTGCATTGGGCGAATCATGTGTGACTACACACATCGCTGTGAAGAAAAGGTGCATGTCGATATAGCATTGTAACCCTGCTTGCGTGCAAAGAAGCATGCAGTTGAAAGTATAATTCACTAGTTCGTGTGTCCATGCAACCGGTTTCTATATGTTGTCACATCTTGGCTTACTGGAAGTTCCCTGCTTGCGGGTGGCATACACTGGCTGATCGATCTTTGAAGGTGGGCTTCAAATCAAAACGAAAGATTCTTCGGGGAAGAGTTGTTGGAGTTCGGAAATATACGAAAAATAGGTACGTGGGAATTCGAAAATGTTCGAAACAACGTATTCGTAATATTTCGTAATATGATTGAGCATTTTTTCGCGAAAAGTGAGTTCATGAAACATCCATGCACAGGCATGAAACATCCATGCAGAGGCATGAAACGTCCATGCGCAGGCATGCGCGTAAAAATGTTTCGTTTTGGACACCTTTTTCGCGAAATTGTGTTTCGTATCCTTGTGGGAATGTGACCCGTTATATCTGTGATCCCTTCAGGGCCCTATGTCGGAAACACCAACATTGCGAAACCAGTGGTCGGCTGCAACTTTGCTGTCGGCTGTGAAAGCGATGGATACCGATGCTGATCTTGCAGCGATTGCGGGGATTGAGGGCTTACTACCTGATGACCCTTGCGAACTTGCAAAGCTCTGTGAGGTGGAATAATAACCTAAGTATGGCCCAATGTAAAGAGGGAGTGCCCCAAACTGTTTTTTTCACTGTTTTTTTCAATGAAAAAAAACACTCCAACGGGGATAGACAATTTATATATCCTTTATAGGGCCCATTTAGCATTAATGCCCACACGAGCTAGCCTGAAAGGTTTTAACGTCGATGACTGAGATGGTGGACTCCCAAGCTCCATCATACAACCGAGCTGCATCTGATGCCACCACTATCCCTGCCACCGAAGAAGAGATCTTGGCATTCAGGAAGACATTTCCTCAGAAGGCCCATGTGTTTTCAGGATGGTCTGGATCATGGTGCTTAAGGGTATACTTAAGTTTTACCTTTGGTGATTCTTCCAAGATGGACGGGTTTGCACAAGTAGTCCCTACCACAAAAATGATCGAGGTATGCAAAAAACAATTCTTACGTTTTGTATGGTTTTGTCAATTGAACATTCGCCTTTCATTGGTTCCTTTAATTTGTTGCAGGGCCCCCTGTTATGTTGAAGACCAGTTGCAATGGAATTTAATCTACAATATCTCGATGCAATAGTATCTATATCCATCTATGTACATACATCCCTGGTCTATATGTTCACAGCATATCTGTGTCTTTATCTGTATATGCATGTGTCTGTACCCATGTAATATTTATATCTCTCTTTCCCTCCAAATCTTTCCTATATAATTATCTTTGATGATCTATCTTACCTTTGTCTTTCCTATACCTAGGTCCCAGTCTAAAGGTTTATCAACAATCTTTATAGTGAAATGTCGACCTGCTGCAAAAAAAAAAATATTATAGTCTTGGGATCTTGGCCACCGTCCTAGGTGGGCTCATCTACCACGGCTACCCCGACGTTGGATGAAGAGGGTGCACAGCGGTTGCTGCCAGCACCTCCCAGCAGCAGCCCCTACTATCAGCCCAGTCTGATTGACCTGAGATCAATTGCTAGGCCTTCCACTGGTAAGCCTTCGTGTTCGCATCAGTTACAAAATACTGCCAAGAAGATTCAGAATCTCCTTGCTAACCCCACACCATCCCGAGCTGAGAAGTCCGTTCGTCGATCTCTTGATAGTGATTTTCAAGATAGTCAGACTGGGCCATCCCCATCCCCGGAAGAACATCTTGGAGGTGAATCTGATCAACTATGGAATAGCATGGCGACACCAGTTCCAAGTCCTTCCACACCACCCAAGGATTGATGATCAATGTTTGAAAGATTTTGAAAGTGTTCTATTTGCATTTTAGGCCTTCTCTATTTTAACATATTTTAACATCATGTGATTCCAACCCCCCTATAGGAGTGGATGGGCTGTGGTCCCT